CTCTCTGCACCAATTTGTGCGAAATTAACCCATATAATTATCTGCAAAATATTTCCACCGCTAATTTTATATGCTTATGTATAATGGCCTGCATAAATAGAAACTAATAGAACAAAGTGCAAAATTTACCCAATATTGTCCACTACACTTTTATATTTTTAGCAATTATGTACATTTCTCATCAAGGCGAATTTTACATCTTTAACGCAATAGCATATTCTAGTCAATTAAATCGATCCGAAGAAATGCCTTGCGCCGTTTAAAAATATTTCTAAAAAATCTATCTTCTAAGAAATCTATTTTCTAGGTTCTTTAGTAGGTGTCTAATTGGTGTCCTGCAAATTGTTAGTGTACATAATTATGTTTTGAGTAGGGAATCGTACATTGCAACACAAATATGTCAATGTTAATGATAAAACTTATTTACGCAACATAGAGAATTACAGAGCTTGGATTAATCGGGATTAAGGACTGGACTTTTTATTTTAAAATTAATCCCTAATCCTTGATCCATCAATTCTTAGAAAAATAACTAATCCTTAATCCTTAGAAGTTTCAGATTTTTAATCCTTTAATGCCGATCGGGATTACTTTTTGGGATTAACTACTCCCATTTTGGGGTAAGGCGAATAACAGATTTTTGTCTACGGGTTTTCAGTAAAGACTGTACTCCTTGTACACATTGTCTGTAACATTTTCCAATGTTTTTTTAAATAGTAATATTTCCTAAATTGGTACGGTTTCAAAAAAGGAGTTGCGGTTTATATTTAATGGCTTATATTGAAAGCATAAGGTCGGTGAAAAAGTATCCGGCAAAAATCAAGTCAACATAAGTTCAACACTACCTCCTGTCCAAAAAGCGTTCAGCTACGACGTAATCACCATTAAGCTAGCCTATCCTACTAATTATTAAACCAGATTGTGTTAAAAGTTAACTACTAGAAAGAATTAAATTTATTTTTACGCTGTCAGTAAAAATTGGGATTATTACTATCCATTTCAAAAATTGTAATCCTTAGTCACGAAATTAATCAATCTTAATCCATTAATCGTGCTTTCCCATAAGAAAATTTTATCTCAAATTAATTCAATCTTGGTTTGAGCTTAATCCCAATCCAAAAATTTAATCCAGCTTTTAGAAAAAGTAATCCTTAATCTTTAATCCAGTTAACAAAATAGTTTAATTTCCAAGTTCTGGCGAATTCCCGTCTGCAGTTTATGTAATCAATTATAATTATTATGTAATCATTATGATCAATCATTTTAACCTTGCGAGGGATTTTTGCATGTCAACCTCACCAATCAATTACATGACCAACAAATTGTGTAATTTGTTATTTTTACACGTTAAGGCGCGGGTACAGGTGGGATAAATGTACCGGATAAATTTTTATAATTCGATGGTAAATTACAAATTCGCAACTTTTATCTGTTCATTTTTGTGTAACATTATGTTATACAAAACATTGTTTTATAACCTTAATCCCACCTGTACACGCACCTTTAATTTACATAATTTACGATTATCCAGTTTTTAACGGTATAAGAGTTATGCTGAGGAGAGGAAGAACTTTGGGCGCTTTGATTTTTATTAGTTTACGCGCCATAGAAATTTTATACGGTCGCAATTCAAACCCATAGATGTACCAGGGTCTTATTGACCCTTTGTACAAAAATTTAATTTATATGTATTTTTATATAAGACGATTATGGGAATCGAAAATTTGACCAAGGAGAGTCCACCATCCAAGGGAGACATACAAAAAATGAACCAAATGTTATTTGTTAAGGTGATTCGACGCGACGGTCATGAAATACCTTTCACATGTACCTATCTCCCAACTTGGCATCTGACATAAAATTTATTTAACAAAAACATTTCAAGATATGTGCAAATATTTCTTTTGCATTAGCCTTTCCTTTTGTTTGCCACATACGCTAGTCCGGTTTTACTAGCTCTGACTTCAAACAAAGATTTAAAGCGATTCAACTTTTTCTCGCAATTTAACCGACCAACATACCTGACTTAATGAGTGATTATGTTCAGCTTTTACGGGAAACCCGACAGGTGGGCTGATGAATTATATAAATCACTCCAATTGACCCATCCCAGACTATCAGAACTATTGTAGATAACAGTTATTCTATATATAGGATCTGCTAATAAAACCGAGAAAACTGACCAATTGTTCCCCATACCAATTAAATCACCACTTAATAGTAGCAGGGAGGCTAATCAAAAATGTTGCTGGTCCTTGTTCTTAGCGTATTTTTACGCCTTGGAGTTGCATCAGGTACTTGAGAAATTTGTATGTAGTTGATCAACTGCCGCTTTAGTGATGCCCATAAATCTAAGCGGCTACTTACATTGCCATTATTGTAATTTTTCTGCAACCGCCCATTTAGCCTGTAATACAAATAGCAGCTAATTTTCTTATAATTATCAGATGCAGACTTGCAACTAATCCTTGATGGAGTTAACGAAATTTATTGCAACGGATGCGTGCCTGGCGTAATGGTTGTTTTTGGCAACAATTCCTTCCCAATAGTATCGGGCACCGATAATGGACAGATGTTTCCTATCGCCGCCGCATCACGTTACGGAGCGGGTAGAGTCATAACGGCGTCACACGATAGCTTACTAAGTGTCCGACCAGGGCTAGTCGATTCGGATAGATTCCTCATAAATTCCATAAATTGGGCATGTAATTGGACCTCGAGTGATGTAACTGGTCGAAAGGCTGCAGTTCTTGAAGGTAAGGTAATTATCTAAAAGTGTCCCTGTTTTGTTTATTGCGAATACTTTATGGCACCTAGTAAAAAAAAGTGCGCGACCACTAAATTTGCAATACCTTAGCGCCACCTATCGACCCACTTACCTCAAAATGCCCGAAAAAATTCTGGGAATATGCCTTAATTTATTAGAAGTGTACCACCCAAGTTCCCAAAAGTCACTCATCGTTGCCATTATTCTGTACATGTGGTGTGTTGCCCCCGAAACATTTAGAAAAGTTCATAAAGTAAATAAATAACTGCGTCAAATTGAGCCTTGACTAATATGTAAATTATCATCAGGATACTCTGGTGCCCCCAATTTGAACAACTTCCTGAACAACTACACGCAGTACGACTCCCAAATTTTGCCATTCTCCAGTCTAAGTAACCTAGCCGTGTTGAAACAATTCAACGTCCTAATCATGCAAAACATGTGGCAATATACCCTGGAAGATAACCTCGTCGATATTATAAAGCAATATGTCAGTGAAGGTGGCTCCCTGGTGACAGCGATGACCTCCTGGATTGCAGATGTCAATTGGGACTTTTACGGAAACAGACTAACCCGAGACGCCGGAATGATTTGGTTGTCCCAATATGCATTCGCCACATCACCTAACGGCAACCTTAATACATCCACTGCCTGGTTGGTTGACACGCATAGTGATCTTGTGATTCAAAACATCCTCACTATTCTAACAAATCCGGAAGTCGAGTTCCCTGGAAGCTACAACCAACAAGGTGGGATAATCAAGAACACAATTCAACACCTCCCACATGATCGCATCGGCGAATTAGCAGCCTTAAAAAATGCCATATCCAACTTGACAGCCATTATTCCCAGTAAAGAAAATCCCGTGGCATGGACGCCGTACAATAAATTTCAGGTTGATACAGAATTTTCTATGTGGGCTTATGTTTTCGATGCTCAGGAAGTTACGGCACACCCGTCAAGCGCCATATTTCCTGGAGCGGTAAATTCAACTGTGAGAGTACAAACCGTGGCAGAAATTTCAATTCCATATCGACAATTTCGTACGGGACTTAAACTTCATGGGGAGGATGGCCCATGGGGCAAATTCGAGAAGCCTGAACCTAACCTTCAAGCAGTTGAGGGATACAGCTCTCACTGGTACAGTACGGGAAGTTATGCTCCTCCAGGCACCCTTGTAACAGTAGGGTTATCGGCGACTTCAAATATATCGGCTTTCACGGTACGCATTGGTTGCCATAGGGATGACTTAAGCGATAAGACGGAATGGGTTAGGTACCCAATGATTGTAATCGTTAAAAGGTAACTTCTTATAAGGTTTGGTCATTAAAATGAGGAATTTGTTAAGGTGTTACTACAGAGTCCATGTTTTGTTAATTTTTATGACTTTGATGAGAAGGGACGGCATTGAGTGATCGTGTTAGTGTTTAAAACTTAACCAGAAAGTAGCAATGTCTGTCAATGGCACTAAATTTCACAACTGCTTTCTTACCCACTGTTTGAGAACAATCGGAAATTTGAATTTTTTTCTAAAAAGTAACAAATTTGAATTTAGTTTGTGGATTAGTTTCTTCTCAAGAGTAAACTAAAAACCTTGTTAGCCAGATGAACCGGCAAAGCTTTGTTAACCTTCAAGTATTGTCAACTTAATAAATTTCGGTGGTAATGAACCAAATATTTCCGTTACTAACCTTGTAAATAGAAAGATCTCTCTGTGACGATTAAAATATTTTTGCTGTAGAATTGCTGGTGCCTCAACTACTATATCGAGTCCTTTTGGTGGATTGATCTACATTTCAAACGTCGTCTCGGACGAGGCTATTCAAATTTTGAATGTAACCGTGACAGGGGGAGTAGTCAGCCCCTCGTTTTTCAAGGGGACAACGTCGGTTCAAGAGTGGAGAGACACTATTCGGTATATTTTATTGTTCGAAATTTTGAAAAACGAGTTTTTCCCGTAAATTTTGACATTTACATTCTCGAGAATTCTATTAATTAGAATGCAAAATTTCCCGTAGCTGGATTCCCTAATGCCATATTTTGTCCTATGATTTTATGCTACACCGTGTCCAACAAACGAGTACATCACTACTATTTGCTCGAGTAATTCCAAAGACACCGTGCAAACATACAAAAACCGACAGCATGGAGTAGGAAGGCCTGTACAGGCCATTTTTCTTCTAAGGTATTTCTACAATATTTCTTAACGGTGACCTTGGAATTAATCACGAAAATGGCAGTGATGTATGTATGTATCGGTGGGGTGACTATCCTGCCATAGTTAGACCGAACCGTCAGCTGCGCAAGCACTAAGGACTTATTGCAGCCTCCCCGTATACACCGCTTTATTGTGCTGAGTTATGACTCCCACGACTTACAGATCAAACTTGACCTGCAAACCGCCCTGATCTGATTATAAATTGAATTAGATCGGGCAGAGTCACAATTTGCTCTGGCGGCACATCGTGCCTCCAAATAGTTCTAACCTTAGGGCACAGTACTTGTCACAGGATCCAAGAAAATGAAATACCGTCTCAGGGCCTCGGCCGCACAGGCACGTGGCCTCATCAACTAATCCCATTATTCCAAGATAGCTATTTAAAGTAGAATGCCCGGTTAAGGTTTGTATTACTGATCGCAGATTATTCCAATTTGAGGTTAAAAGCTTACTGCTAAGCCCCGGTGTAGGGGTAGATAGAAAAGCCTTAGAAGTTAAACAACCCTTGCTGCTTTCGGCTGTAGTAGTGATGTACAGGGTAAGGAAAACCACGGGGTTTTGCTATTAAAATCCCATACCCACGGGTTTCACCTGGGTTTTGCGGGTAGTCGGGGTTTTGGGGGCAAACTGAGTCAATATCCCATGTATTCAAGATTTCTAAGCAGTGACAAGAATCTAATTTTTCAGTAATTTCGCAAAAAACAGCTTATTGATTGTATTTTAAGAGCTAATTAACTTTTATCATGTATTGTGCCCTTCAATAAATTTAAAAACCCCGACTACCCCGACTACCCGTGGGCATTGCACATATTTGCTACCCCAAAACCCACCAAAACCCGCAAAAAGCCAATACCCCCAAAAACCCTAGGGTAGCATACCCTGGTGATGTACTTGTTTTGTTGGACACGGTTTAGCCTTAAAACCGTTTCGTCATGAACTGTAAAATCCACCGATTTTAAAGATTTACAAAATTATAACGTTTCATCAAATTTTTTGATTTCTCCTAATTTCCCGCTGATTTTAATGGACGCTAAATACTGCCACTGTCTGTCTGTCTGTCTGCTGTCTTTTCCCCCGGTTATTGCCCATTATCTTAGGAAATTAGGTTTAGCACTGGAAGTCCTTATTTCACTTCGATAAATTAACTATTTTTCATATTACTTCTATATTTTAGATATTTTGGTGCTCCATGGTCAGAATTTGTCGGCGAACGTGTGGTACTTTCCGTTCCAGCAGATGTCGCAAGAACTGTAGAAGATCCGTTTGAGCTCCTCGTATTTTGGGACGATGTCATCAATTCTATCTCTGACTTTGCTGGCGTAGTTCGTTCTGAGAATTACCAACGATTCGTGTTCGACGCTGATATTGGGGGAGGCTATATGCATTCCGGATTTCCAATTATGGCACTTCTCGGATCGGCGGGAAATAGCGTCAATTTGACCATTATGCGCCAAAATGTGGGCGACAACTGGGGTTTCTTTCATGAGTTGGGGCACAACCATCAATGGAACGAGTGGACCTTTGAAGGCGGAAGTATGTACACTTGTCAAACAATGCAAGGTTGCTGGCGGCTGCATTCAGATAATTTGTTCAGGAACACAAATAAGCTGACCATTTTGCATTTTTCTGAATGCGCGATTTTAAACGCGTGGCAAAATTTTCAGCCAAAACCTAAGGTTTTCAAGACGCTGAAACTCTTTAAATTTTCGCGCGATTAAAAAAAAATCAAGAACATGTATCCTTAGAATTAGTTTATATAAAATGCAAAAATTCATTTTTAAAAAAATTTGCAAATTCGAATTTTATCCAACGTGTGATTTTATAAATATGTAAACTCCCGACAAAATTCGAATTTGCAAAATTTTGTAAAGATAAATTTTTGCATTGCAGTAGGACTAATTCTAAGCGTGCGTGTTCTTGATTTTTTGAAATCGTGGGAAAATTCAAAAAGTTATAGCGTTTTGAAAACCTTAGATCTTGGCTGATAATGATTTTGACAATTACGCCACGCAGTCAAAATCGAGCATACAAGAAAATGTATTTAAAAATACGGCTATGCTGATTTTGGTTCCTGTATAAATTAACATTTTTCCCATCGAAATCTGAGTGTATCCGCTAACAAGCTTGCTTTGTAAGTTCAAATAAAATTTCAAAGAGTCGATAAAAAGTAAAACCATGTGTAAGGCTGAATTCCTTTTTGCCTGCGTTTTTGCAAGTTATTCGTGCTGTTTTGTTTTCAACCAGACGCCACCTAGCGGCATCACGTGTACATACAGTATGCTATAGTTCCAAATGCAGAAATTTTAAAACTGCCAAAAAAGAACAGTATTTTGACTAAAGCAAACAAAGCACCAGCTCTTTGGCTGTACATATACATGAAACGAATCCATGTAGGCTTTATTTCTGTGGAAATCAACAATTAAAAATGTTTCATGATCCAAAATTTAATCAGCGGAAGTCACCTGCAACATATTCTCGATGTACGTCATGAACCAATTCTTGGGTCACCCCATGCCAGACACTCGTCCCCACATCTTACTGCCTGAAAACCTTCGGAGGTACATAACTCAGTATATCTCCGATGGAATTAACTACCCAAATTTTCAAAGGGACTACGACCGCGGTCTAATTTTCTATTACCAATTGGAACGAATTTTTGGATGGGCCGCTTACAAAGAGGTGTTCCAGAGGTATCGCGACCTTCCGGGGGATGAACTACCAAGGAACGATGATGAGAAGCGTGACACCTGGCTCATTATTTTTTCAACTGTGGTGCAACGCAATATTGCCGAATTGATGAAATCGTGGGGAATTCCGGTCTCTGCCGCGGCAGAGGATCAAGTTGCCCACCTGCCCGATTCCGGGTTTACGATTTACTCCTTGCTGGAGTAACCAAGCTGATATATTAATAAATGGGTGGCCTCAATATTTTTTTCGTGTAAACGACCAATTTTTTTATCCTTATCGGTTTCTCTGATAAGCTCTTAATAAGAATTACACATTTATTTTCCGTATGTGTTTCACCCTGACGCTACCTATTAATTTGAAATTATGTATGTAAGAGACCAGCTCACTGGGGGGGTTTTTTCAATTTATTACTCTTTTGCGTGCCCTCCCTCGAGAATATTGAGTCCCCCAAAGATATATATTTATCTGGCAATAATGTGTAATAAATTGAAATTACACAAATTTACAGTGCCTGTTCAAATATTTTTCCTTCATTCAAAATTCATTCACTTCGAAATTCAATTGCAATTATGCATTAATTATTCATTCATTCCATAAATAATTCGTTCATTCAATCAATCATTCGCCTTATGTATTTAACAGGAAAAAATTGAGTGAATAAAAAACTCATTATTAATTCAATGAATTATTTACTCACTCATTATTCATTTCGTAGTAATTGAGGGGAGTAGGAGTAGGCGAATGATTGAGGCCCAGTTACCATGAAGTCGACTGTTCCTTTGCTTCCTTGTTTGTATCGGACTTCCTCGCTGTCGCAATCGTATATCGCAGTCGTCTAAATTTTTGTGCAATTTGTGCCATTTTTATACAATTTTTGTGCAATTTTGTGCAATTTGTGTGCTCTTCAATGCAACTAAGGTTTCGTAGAAATATCATGATTCACAAGAACAATCTCCGATTAAATCGATGGATGAAATGGATCATCGAAATGTAATCATCGATGGATGATTACGATGAAACTGATCGAAACTGACTGAAATTAGTTATTACCAATTGCTGAAAATTGATTTTTAAAAACTAAAATTAATAGTTCCGAGGATACATGTTTTAGATTTTTTAATTCGTACCAAAATTAAAACAGTTAAGCGATTTGAAAATCTCTAAATTAAGAAAACTTACTTGAAACCCCCGCCACTTGCTCAAAAACGATTATTATCAAAAAAACACGGGTAAAACACAGTACACAGTATTTTTTGTAAAAAATTAAAATTAGTCCCATCAGAATTAGAGCTACACACCTGACGATGATGCCTTGTAAGTGGTAACTTTCTTTAATATCGAACAGAATCCTCGAGCAAATTACGATTGTTATGAATACATACATACATATATTGCTGAAGTCCTTTAGCCCCTCAGGGATAACACAAACATGAACAAATGTAAATGAATGTAAAGCTTTTATAAAATACGAACTTTCTCAATTACATTTCGCTATCGCATGTATGCATATACGTACACAACTTTATTTCTGGAATTATCTGTGTTATTGTTGAAACAGTAATGGGGCGTATAAACTTATACTCATGCAACTCGACACTGCACACCACCCACTATTCTTTTGATTAATTCTCCATCCATACTCGCTCCGTACATCCCGACCATCCACACTGTGAAGTGAGTGCCTGGCCCTCAGTGTCAGCTTGGCAACAATCCAAGATTTTATTTTCACTCGCATTTCATCGAAATTCATAATACATGCTCATAATACGACAACAACAAATTTTCATTCATCAGTTTCAATTTGTTTCACTTATCATCGCCTATCTTAGGGTTATCAACAAATTTTATTTTTAGTCATATTTCATTCAAACTAATAGCATGTGTTCATATTGCGACAACAACAAATTTTCATTCATAAACTTTAATTTTTTTCACTTATCATCGCTCATCTTAGGGTCATCAATAAATTTTATTTTTAGTCATGTTTCAATCAAATTAAAAATGTATAATGTGTTTACAGGGTCGAATAACTGGGTCATGACGTTAACAAATAAGGACCTGGTTTCCACTACGAATCGCTTTTAGCGAAACATCTTCACGTGCAAACAAAATGTTACACTTCGACAACTTTTCGCTAAGGTATCTATCATCCCTATGACCGAAGTAAAAAAAATTTAGGATGTCTTGGACAGTCTTATATGTTGGACGTCAGAACTCGATTTAGTTCACTTGGATTGATTAGTTTTCAACATTTCGAATAATTAATTAACTTGAACTGATGAAAATATTTACATTTGTTTAGATGTTGATAACATCCAATGGCATGGAATTTGCAAAAAAATTTGACGACGTATGGTTTCCGTATAAGTCACCTTATTTTTATCCTGACTGAAAAGTTCAATCGCAATAGAATCGGAATTGCTTAAAGAAAACTATGTGGAACATTCCTACAGCTGGGCCAGCAGGACCTGACAATTCTACCAAATTAAGAGTAGAATTCCCGGAAGACATGAGTATAGATATAATATTGTATCATCATTTGCAAATCATCTGCCAAATTGTCTATTATTTAACTGACATTATTTAATATCGCTTATAGAAACAAGTAAGTTAGCATTAGACGTCCATTATAACGATAATTACTTATTTATGCCCGTAGTTATTTCCGAGCTTACTGATAATGCCATAACGGTTAAAAATGGTTAAAAAAGCAATCTATAATTTATTGCTATTAACTCTTGCCTTCAACAGGCATTATCAGTCTATACGATAAAATTCATCGTTTATTTATTGCAAATCCAAGGTTGTATATTTCCGTCTAAAACCTATTTCGCACAACAGTGCCAACGGTGGTAGCCTATGTATATACTAATGGGAAAAATAATTTTCCTACAAGTATTCACAACTGGAAGCATGTGATATGAGACAAGAATAATAATAAATACAAGATCGTAGTGATGCAAAAATATACAATCTACCCCTTCATATACAGGTACACAGGCTGACAGGCTGATTTCGTATGACATTTACCATTGAGTTAAACTAATCCAAATATTATTAATTCACGATTTTTATCAGAAAATGCTGATATACGATTTTCGCTTCGATTTTCTAGCACATGATACGTACTCATCGGATATTATGGTAGAAATTTTAAAATTAAATGCTTTTTAACAATTTTTTTACCTTGTGATATAAATTTCTAGGGGGAGTCGCAATATTTTAAAAATCTGAGAATTCAAAATTTTCCCTATGGTCCAGGGTTTTGAAAACCGTTTTCGATTTTCGAATCATCCTAAAATTGACTGATCAGTGACAATTTAAATATCAGGAAAAATCATAAAAAAGCGTCTAAAGGTGTTGTACAACTTCGTTATTTCTGAATTGTAAATTTTTGCGGCTTCCTGCTTAACTACGCCGTTCACATTAAGGTGTCCATCCGGATAACAGTAGTAATTTATCTGGTTTTTGAACCAATCCGTAATTGTTTGTTTTGGGTTTGCAAAATATTCGAGTGCAGGATCGTAATGATCAAGTTGAATTCCATCAATTAAATAATATAAAAATTTTATACATACGTTTTCAACGCTTGACAGCCATTTCTGTGATAACAATCTTCATTTTAATATTTGCTCAGCTTCTTTTTTTACTTTTTGCAGTGCAGCGTAAAGTACACTTTCACCCAAAATAATCGGTGCACTCTCCACAGAGTATCCGTACGATAGGCAGGTCTGGACTCTCTAAAAACATACGAACGCTTACATTCAACAGGAATACACCGTAATGTTCTATAAACTATGGACAAAAGTTTTTCAGGACTGCACTTTTTCCGAAGCTATAGCATTGGACATATGGGGGAAGATTTCATGGAGCTCTTGGGGCAAGAATCTCCAGCGTAGCGTATACATATGTACATTGCAGGAGATCTGAATAAGATTGTTCAGCTAGATCTGGACTATTGATCAAAAATAAATCGAATTTGGAAACTCGTTCTTTAAAGTTGATGAAAAGTTAGCTTTTGGATAAAAATTTCGACATTTTTTTCAAGTTTTGACGTCTGACATTTGTAGACTATTGCTTTGTAAAATTTGAAATCTTTTCCTTGAGTACTTATTTGTTGTTTCAATTTCTAAGCTGGTCCAATAATCTGTTGTCCTACTGTATATTTAATACGTTTACAACCAAACCCCAACTAATTGAATGCTTTAAAACTTCAAAGGCATAAATGGCACAAAAGCGAAGCATAGGGCTGATTTTTAGAACAACTCTCAGTTTCCATTACACAGTGAATTTGCCTAAAAAGTCCTGAATGGCTCCCCATTTGCTTATGTAACTGTTTTTTTTTACTAATTGTTACTAATTGAATATTAGAATACATATTAATAGTATAAAAAGTTTGAAAACCTTTGGCAAAAGCTTGTGAATTTGCCGTGTGAAGTTTTTTCCTGTACAAAAGCTCATATCTGTAACACATCGATTGAATAGCGAGCAATTGTATCTTACAGGGAAATGTTTTTAACAATTTCCTAAAACTTAAAGTTTTAGGCAGTCCATTTAATATAGAGCCACATAAGTAATACAGATATAGAAAAAGTTCAAATTTTTGTTTGAAAAATTTCATGACAAACCCAGGTTTTACTATAAAGTTTTCAAATTTTTAGCATGGAGCTTTTCCATTTTTTCCATTTCCTCCTTGGTTTTTGGTTACCATTGATGAATTTCAAATTGCGCATATTTATGTCTTTAATTGATACGCAACGGAATAAAATTCAGTATGTATGTAACCCGTAGTCAAGTGGCTAATTCAGTAATATGTAAATTCCACCAGAAAACACTGTTTCGGAAGTATGTAGGGTTCAAGAGAATTGCATGACATGGATTTCACGCTATGAGGATTTTCATGCATCCTGTAAGGATGCATGAAAGGATCCTGTGCCTCTCTCCAGAACATGCAAACAAATGTACATGAGCCCATCACGATGATGTGATGCAGAACCTTGAGTTGAGTGGCATACTATTTACTATGTAAGGTATTTACATAAATATGTACATATGACATACAGGTAATTACCTGACTGCAATATTCTCCGGAATGACGCAGCACGACCCAAGTGTATAAATGTTTACCTACATAAATACTTGTCGAAATCTGTCCGATTGAAGATTGACATATGTAAATATCTACGTACGCATGTAGTTGGTAGAAATGGATTACGAGGTATATTCTTCACGGTGCATGAGCTCAGATTTAATTTTAACCTCCAAGGTAGCACTTGGACTTGAATAAATTCTATAAATTACTTCAATTCGTCCAGCCGTTATTAACAAATTTTATTTTACAAGTCGGAATCAGATACACGGTGGGGATTA